AGACAGATAGATAGACAGATGGACAGATAGACAGATAGATAGATAGACAGATGGACAGATAGACAGATTACAGATAGACAGATAGATAGATAGATAGATAGATAGATAGATAGATAGGTAGATAGGTAGATAAGTAGACAGGTAGATAGGTAGATGGTAGATAGGTAGATAGGTAGGTAGGTAGATAGGTAGATAAGTAGATAGGTAGATAGGTAGATAGGTAGATCGGTAGATAGGTAGATAGGTAGATAGGTAGATAGGCAGATAGCTAGGTAGATAGCTAGGTAGATAGATGGATGGATGGATGGAGAAATAAATGGATCAATAAATAGACAGATAGATAGATAGGTAGATAGATAGATAGATAGATAAACAGATTATGCTATGTTATGTTGTGTCATACCATATTTTATCATCTTGCATTGTACTGCATTATATCATATTACATTGTCTTATATACACTAACATATAATGAAACATACAACCTGATATATACAGCCCTGAACATTGCTCGATTGTGATGACAAGATGTAGACCAATCCCGAACCATCGATTTCCACTTTTGTCCATGCCGGACGATCTGTTTTTGGCCGCGACAGGGTTCCGAGAAGCCATGAAGGACTCGAAGTCGTTGATATCGTGCTCTTCGTACTTGGCCTTCTGCCTGTCGAGATACGCAACCTCAGCCGTCTGCGAGCGACCCAGGCCAGTATGGGCCCGGGCTTCACTCATGGCCTCGCTGTCTGACAGCTTCTCCCAAGCCATCTTCCCCTCACCCTTTTTCCCTTCGAAGTAGAAGACGTGGAGCGTCTGCCCCTTCGCAATGGCTTTGTCCACGTTGTTCTTCCACTCCTGGTCAAGTGTTACACTAAACGGTCCTAGGTCCTAGCTTGTCGTCACAACAGAAAGGGATGTTCTTGTCAACTTGTTCTCAGAGCCGCGGGTGCTCGTTCGTAAAACATACACACACTTGCAAACAGCAAGGGAACCAACACAACAAAAGAACAGTCAATCTACCCACGAATATGGCAACAACTGCTGCTGCTCCGACAGCGACTCCGACTACAACTACAGGTGCGGCCTGCTACGACGACGACTACTACTACTTCTTCTTCTAGTACTACTACTACTACTACTACTACTACTACTAGCCACCCCCCCACTACCAACTACACTTGCTCCATCC